TAAATAAGGAAGTGTCTAAAATATTACAAGTTTAAAGGCAAACTGGTCTTTTCCCATAAGTCAGACTCCAAAGCCATTTACTTTTTAATAGATTTTAAAGCCAGAAGTGACAGGGGTGGTATTAGGGCAGTGCACATTATGCAGTTCCATCAGACCCTATATTGGTCAGGGGTCCCATTGCACTAGTAGCCATGGAACTGACTAGGAGGGATCATTTTTTATGACTGTTGCTAATATAGTTCTCTAGTAAAAAGTGGGGGGACTGATACCGAACATTTGCACGTGTCCCCAAAAGGTGAACTACCTCCAGAGAAGAGATTGTTTTCATTACCTACTCCAGGGGTTTTCAACCTTTTTTAACAGGTGTACCCCTTCAGTCTCAACATTTCAGCTCATGTACCCCTTTATATATTTTTCTTGTTGTTAAGGGGTGGGGGCAGATTGAGGTCCCTGTGGTGAGGGTGGGAGTGGGGCTGGGGATAGGGCAGGGACAGGTGCTGCAGAGGTGGAGGGAGAAAAAATTATTTGGGGGGACTGAGTGCATGCACCTCCCAGTAGGTAAGTCTGTGGGGAAAGGGGTGGGGGGATGGAAAAAGGCCATGGGGGGAAGATTGAGGACCCCGCAGTGAGGGAGAGAATGGGGTAAGTGGTGGGATAAGCAGTGGGGTGGGTAGAGGCAGTGGGGTGGGGTGGGCTGGGTGGTGGGATAAGCAGAGGCTCAGGGGTGCCCCCCAGGCCTCCACTTGTCTCACCACCCAGCCTGGATCAGGCCCCACTCACCTCAGCCCATGCTCCTGCCCCGCTCCCTCCCTCACTATGCGGGCCTCAGTCTGCTCTCCACCTCCCCATTGTGGTGAGGAAGGGAGTGGGGCTGGGGATTGAGACCCCCACAGTACAGAAGGGAGCGGGACGGGCAGGGGTGAATAATTCACCCCTGCCCCACTCCCTCCTGCACTGTGGGGATTGTCCCATGACCTGGCTTGGCTGGGGCCCCATTCACTGTGATGGTGGCTTGTCAAAGGGCATGGCACGGGGGAGCCAAGGGGGGAGCATATGTCCCCCTCCCCGGCTCCCCTGCCATGCACACAGCGGCAGGGACCCTCCCCTGTGCCCCTGGACGAGCTGCCACTCTCCAGTTGTCCCATGACTTGGCCCAGCTGGGGCCTCATTCACGGTGAATGGGGCCGCAGCCGGGCCAAGTTGTGGGACAATACCCACAGTTCAGGAGGGAGTAGGGCAGGGGCAGGGGTGAATAATTTGCCCCTGCCCCACTCCCTCATCCACTGTGGGGGTCTTGATCTGCCCCCACTCCCAGCTGAGTCACAAAGTGAGGGAGGGAGGGAGGGAGTGGGGCTGGGACAGGCATGGCACAGCCAGAGCGGGGTGTGGTTTTGAGCTTTGTGGGGGGGTAGCGGCTTCCACTGCTATGCACAAGCCTGGGAGGGCATGGGGTGGTGTGTGCCCTCCTGATCTGTGTGGAGCAGGCTATGGCTGCGGGCTTGGGTTGGTGCTGCACTGGGCTCTTCCTGGAGGATGCTGGGCCGAGCTGAGCTTGGGGTGGGGTGGGCTTGGGGTAAATTTGCTGTAACCTCCCCAACCCCCTCCCAGCACAGCTCAGCCCAGCATTCCCAGCAGGAACAGCCCAGTGCTGCCCCAGCCTGTGGCGGCCCACAGCTCGCCCCACATACTGATACAGAGTACGTGCCCCCTGTGCCCTCCTGAGTGTGTATGTAGTGGCAGCATTGGGAGGGGAGGCTGAATGGAGTGGGGGTTTGGACACAGCAGCCACCACCACCACCACTGCTGCCATGCCGCTTTTTGATGGCTGATCACGACTCCACGGCTGCTTATGGGCCTCATGCCCGGCCAATTGCGCACTGCCGGGTGTGGGCACAAAACACACTCCCCCCACCTCGCTATTTAGATCCTTGCAGCTCTGCTGTAAGGGAGTAGTGGCCAGTCAGGAGAGTGAGCTGGGGTGGGGGTGGGGAGGGGTTGCGGTATGCTGCACAGGGCCAGCAGTGCCCGGCGCATCCCTCTTCTCTCCCCCAGGTAAGAGGTGAATGCACTGGGGGGGAGACTGCTGCTGCATCCGTCCCTGCCTTCCCGTGCATACCCCCTTTAACCTTTCTAATGCCCCTGGGGGTATGTGTATCCCTGGTTGACACCCCCTGATCTATTCCAAACTCTACAGGAAACAGGCCATAAAACAAAAATCAGTAATTTTGGTATCTAGCCCAGTAAATATCTGGTCGAAAGAGAAATACAGAACTACTACTCTTAACACTTCTAGTGAAGCTGATACTTTTTTCCCCCTTCCCATACATTTTCTAAAAGGAGCACCATCAGTTGAATTTCTTGAGTCTCCTGTTACCAACATGGACCATCCATTTCTAAAAGCATTCCAAGGACCATCCAGTTCTGTGCAAGTCAGCTCACAGTTACCAGGTAGTCATGAATTGTTATAAACATATCTTTTTTAATGTCTGGTATAGTACTAATATATTATATTATACTAAGTATATTGTATAAAGTTGATTTATGAATTCAACTTTAAAGTTATACTTCAGAATTCAAAACTGAAGGGAGTGCAGAACATTAATTCCTCTCAAAACATTTATATCATTAATAGAAAAACTTTTTGTATGCAAGATGCTTCAGAATAACTTAAGACATTTTTACATGGTTTATTATTTTAAATAATCTTTCTGCTTTTACTTTAATACAAAACCATTTTTCTTTGTCTTTGATGATTTGCCTGATGCAACTGTTTTCTTTCTCAGTAATGGTATCTTTTATCCATTACTGAGACCATGGGCTTTCCAGTTTTGTTTCTTAGTAAAAGTTCAACATCTATGAACATACAGAACATATGTATATATTTAGCATAATATTATGATTTTTTTTCCTCCCTGAGAGTAAATTATTGTACGGAACTAGTAGGGAAGTTTTACAAGCCATATTTTGTGTCATAGTAGGATGGTAGTAACAATCTAGCTCTTCTCACATTCTTATACTATGTATTAGTTGTTCCACTTTAGAGCCAGTTAACAGCACTGCTTATTTAAAGAAATTGCCTTAAGTAACATAGGAATTTTTTACCTTTGTTTTGTGGAAAAAATAATTTTAAAGCCTTTTCTTCCAAATGTGATACACACTGAAATTGGTAGAATGATAAGTATTAGATAAATGTATATATTTTTGTTTTTTTTCAGGTAGTTCTGCTGAGGCAATGCAGGTATCCCATGTCAGAAATTCTGAAGAAGATGACATGGCTTATTTTGAAAAGCGGTACCAGGAACGGGTAAGTCATTGGATTTTTGCAGTGGAACTTAATGCAAACATATTCCCTCAAAAGGAAAGAGAACTAATTAAAGGGGACTAATTAAAGATGATAAAAATAAAATTGCAATTGCCTGCAGTTGGATGCACTACTATAATTTCTACTGTTCTGGTCCTGAGAAAATACTCCTTTATGAAAATGAGGGTTGTGACATAGTTACTTAGCAGTGCTGAAGATTATAGACCATTCGCATCTGGAATGGTTCAATGACCTTTCTCTTCTCACAGCAGGTATAATTTATAACTGTTCTGTCTTAGAGGAGGGTAAGGAAATATTACCATGCCACAGAGAACAAACAAATTCTGAAACAAAAAGCTCTTTCCATTCTGGGCAATAAAGAAAAACAGTCTGCAAAAAATAAAGTTCCCTTCTTTAACGGGTGGTCTCCTAAAACTTCATACCTTTTATTTATTAAAAGCTATTGTAGTTTTTGTCTAATTTTTGGTTAAATGCAGAGTATTACTTAACTCTTTCTTCTCAATTGGAAGCATGCTGTAACTGTTTACTTGTTCTTCTGTAAAAGCAATGTGATTTAACTAACTAGTTTTAGAAAACTTTATACTGCTGTTGCGCTTGTTCTTTGCAAAAGATGTTATCTTTATTTCTTTTAGAACTGTCTGAGCTTTTTCAAACTCTGAATCTTTACTTTTAAAAATATTTTTCAAGGACTATACTACAGATTTAGCAAATGTAATATCAGTTTAGAAAAATGGTATTACTACTAAGTTGCAAGGCCTTTACCAAGATTTTGAAGGAAAAGGATTTGAGGCTTAGTAATAATGCTATTAGAGAGGTGGTTATAGGAATTCTAGATGTTTTACTCAGCCCTGCAAAGATGCAAAAATGTGAGTGGAGTACTATTATAAGTGTCTGTCTGTCTTACAGTTGAAAAAGGAGAAGGCTGCTAAACAGAAAGGAAGAGGTCCATTGCCTTCAAAAAATCCATGAAGGTTGATGAAAAAAATAAGTTCTTGCAATACTTGATACTGAAGCATATCTTCATCATATTTGTTGAATGTCTGTAGTTTTCAGTTTCTCATTAACAATATTGCTGTATTAAAATACTGATAAAATTAATTTTAAAGTTCTTATGGTCCTTTGAAATGAAATTGGTACTTTTGTCAAGGTAGTTAGTTTAGCATAATACCTAATCTCTCAATTACCATATTTGCTCAAAGCTGAGATGAGGTTTTTTTCCCCCCATTCAATATGCAGAAAAAGCCCCTCATCTTGGATTTGAGTACTAGCCAGTGGTAGGGAGGGGCAGGCAGCTTCTCTGCTGCTCCAATTCCAGGTCTCTGCTTGCAGGGATTGGGCTGTGGGGCCTTGTGCCACCTCTGCCTGCTGGGATTCACAGGGCCCCATGCTGCCCTGTGCATTTCTGATTTCCCTCCCATCTTTTTATACCACAACTGCTTACTAGGATCTTTTTTGTCTTATGGCTTCCTCAGGTATGGCCACTGCACTCCTGTGCCAAACTCATAAAATAGCCATTAAATAGGAATAGACACAGTACATACTGCATGAAAACAAAACGACTGTATCATCCTGTTTTGTGTAAAATTCCTTCTTTCCTCTTGCATCATGCCTTATCCAACTCAGATGGTGTGCTCCTTGACACCAGAAACATGTCTTTATTCTCACTTCACAATAACATTCAAGACCAGGGGTGGGCAAAATGCAGCCTGGGGGTCAGATGCGGCCCGCCAGGCCAATCTATCTGGTCCGTGGGGCCGCTAAAAAATTTAGAAAATGAATATTAATCTGCTGTGGGCTGCCTGTCATGCCCTTGATGGCTTTCTGAAACTCAGTAAGCGGCCCTCTGCCCAAAATAATTGCCCGCCCATGTTCAAGACTGTAGCAATATATTTATATAAATGAATAAGGTAATTAAAAAGGTTGGTTAGTTTAGATAAAACACTTCTTACTTTAATTAAAATGTATAACATGATATTACCATCTCCAATTAATCTTTAATATAAAATTTGTATTTATATTTCCGCTTAGAAATTAAAAAATGACAAAATTTTATACAGGAGCTATAAAATGCACTTGTGCTCCCTCTACTGGTTTAATCTCAGCAATTATCTAAATACATACTATATAAAATTATGTAGTGCAATGCTGATACACATGCTGGGAAATAATATTAGGAATTTGAAAAGAAAAATTAGGGAAAGATATTTTAAGTTCAGTTTAGAAAAGAGAGTTGCAAACTAAATGGGGGAGGTCTAGTTTTAAAATTTTTTTTCTCACCCCAGCAACTTTCTCAAATAGGAAGAAGGGTCTTAGAAATGTATATAGGTCAGAGATTAGGATTTTCTCTCTACACAACAAGTATCTTTAAATTTGCAATGGTAATGCACAGTCTCTTCCTTGCATTTGCTAACATGTTTGTTTTTATGTTTTTCTATGCTAGTACTATTAAATTCCTCATTTTAGGACAATTTAAAGACATTACTTTTGTTGAATATGTTTGAGATTTTCAATTTAAAAATATGATCACACTTGTCCCCAGTAAACTGTGTTAACTGGAAACTAGTAAATTCATTTTTATTGATGTATCATGTACTTCCTTTCATAATTAAAAATAGATTTTGTCAGAGTAACATATTATTGCGGATAGAAGGATAGGTATTGCTGTGTCTATGCCAGTGGTCTCCAACCTTTTTAGGTTGGAGATCACTTTTGGAATTTAAGAGGAACCGAAGATCTACCCCACCCCAGCAGGTAAGTTTGTGAGGAGAGGCAGGGGGAAGGGAAAGGGCCATGGAGGGGGAAAGGGCAGATGGAGACCCTAGCCCTACCCCACTCCCTCCCTCACCGCTGGGGCCTCGATTGCACCCCCCCGTCCATGCTGGTGAGGCAGGGGCAAACCCTGCACAGCTGGGGTGGGGTGGGGGACAGAGCTGCAAGTGGCTCGTCCAGGAAGCATGTGGGGGGGAGGCACACAGCCCAGGAGGGCATGGGGGGGCATGTGCCCTTGGGTCTGCATGTGGGCAGAGTGGGCTGGGGCCAAGGAAACACCAGTCTCTTCCTGGCTGGGCTGCACTCAGGCCAGGTGGCTGTGGCAACAGCGCTGGGAGCGGGACCACGGGGTCGGGGTGTCCCCACTCCCAGTGCCACTGCCGTCTGTGCCAGGTGGAGCATGGGACAGGCCTGATGGCAACAGCCTGGTGCAGCCTTCCAGCTCTCAGTTGCAGCCTGCGCTCCCCACACCCGCCAGCCCCTAGGCCCCATGTCCTTGTGGGGAGGGGAAGGCTGCGCTGGGCTGTTCCCACCAGGCCTGACCCATGCTGCATTCAGCAGCAGCTCTGGGAACTAGGATTGGGGGTCTATGCCTCCCTGTGGCCCCACTCCCAGTGCCACCACTGCATGCAACTATATTGCTTTGGATCCACCCCGTGACTCATCAGTATAATGGTGTGACTACTGCCACTCAGCTGCACCTTTTCAAAGTATGTGACTTAAATTTGAAGGGATCTGAGGTGGGAGAGATTACCTGCTATCATATGTGGACACCTGGAGTTGTTAAGGTATAATTGCACAGACTTTTTATAATCCTTAAGAACTAGTACATTTCAAGCAGTTGTATTTCAAATAAAATAAAACCCATTGCCTTTATTGTCTTGTACATATAAAGAAAACAGGATTGATTTGATTACTTTTAACCAGCATGATTATTTTTCTCTTATAGAAGGGATTCCTTGATACAGTGGCCTGCAATAGCAGGGGATTGGACTCAGTGAGCCAAGAGGTGTCTTTCATTCCTTTATTCTCCAAATATTTAGGAACTTTCTTTTGCAGGAGTTGGGTATCTATCTGATGCATGATTTCACTTCATGTTAATATCTCCTTTGAATTATTTTTTTCATGCTGACAATGTCCCTTTTCAAAACCAAGTTGTGCCTCTGCAATTATTTGCAAGATTGGGGTCTATGTATTTTTACAGTTCCTATTAGTTCTCTTCAGAATGTTTGTTAGGACAGTGATAAAATTTACTTTAAAACATATTAAATTTTAACGTTACAGCATTTAAAATATACCAGAACTTTATACAATACAAGGCTAAATTCCAGTAGTTTAATTTAAAAGAACAGATCAGGTTTCTATATCTCCAAAATCTTAAAGTGACTCATTTTTAAACAAATTAGTACAGAGATACTAACATTGGGCCTTTGCCACTAATAAAATATCTATAACCTATGAAAGCACACATAGTGGAGCTCTGCATGGTACTATGCTCCTAAGTGGCAATGCAGCACGTGGATTTATTCATTAGGTAAGTCAACTTCTTGCATAATGCCAACATTTAAAAATAAGTTCACATATCCATAGGTACACAGCTTCTTGTACTCTGTGCTACATTTTCAGACTTGTGAATACTTGAAAATACTTTTTTATTTGAAATTTAGAAGATAAAGCAGCAAAACTATAAATCAGATGAACATATAAAATATATGTCAGTTAGATTAAGAGAAATCAGATGTATGGAAATAGTTTAAAAGACATCAGGAAAAGAAAGTAAAAGAATACTATTTATCTAGGACGGGTGGCCAGTTATTGGGGCCTGCAGACCACATAGGCAGTTCTGGGGAGCTGTTGAGGGCTGGTCAGCACCCCTCCTCCCCGGTAACAGCCTGGTGCCCATGCGCCCTGCAGCGCCTACCTGCCACCACCACTAGTGCACCGCAGCAGCTGAGTGCCAGCTCTGGCCCCCACCCAGTCTCAGCCCCAACCCTGACCCACCCCACACCCACTCCGGACTTGCCCTGCCCAGAACAGAACAGCTGGAACCTGTGTGCACAGCCCCAACCCTGGCCTGCCCTGCACCTCCTTCAGACTGCCTGCCCACGCCGAGCAGCAGCAGTGGCGGCTGGGCAGAAGCTGCTGCTAGGTGTGGGAGGAAAAGCGGCTGCCTCCTCTTCACAGCTTCTGGGCCACTTTTGCTGCAGCTGTCTGGAGCCTGCACCCAGGCTCCCCTGTGGCTCCTTTCTACTGCCTCCACTGCTCTGCTGGGTGGCTTGGAAGCAGCGGTGATGACGGGCATGGGCCCTGGGTGGCTGTAGCAAGAAGGGTCCACCAGTGGTGCCCTTCAGTGTTGGTGGGCGATCCGGAGCAGGCACAGGGCAGGCTGGAGTCAGGGCTATGTAAGTGGGTCCTGGTTCATCTGGAGCTCGTCCGCTCCAGCCAGGGTGAGTCCAGAGCGGGTGCAGGGTGGGCTGGGGTCGGGCTGTGCAAACAGGACCCTGCCAGTACCATGCGGCTGGGGCCAGTGGTGGCTGTAGCTGGAAGGAGCCACCACTGCCTGGGCTACCTAGAAATGCAGTCCAGCTGCAGAGCTGCCAAAGTCCTGCTGTGTGCCCAGGGGTGATGGGACTCACCGTGGCCTAGCTGGTGCCTGGGCCAGGTTGGAGTGAGGGACCCATCAAAGTCCTTCCATGGGCTGGATCCAGCCCCGCGGGCTGTATTTTGCCCACCCCGATCTAGGAGCTCAGCTGTTTCTCACATTTCAGAAACAGGAACCAACTCATCAACCTATTGTCTGGTCATTTTTGATGTTTACATGTTTATATATGACTAGACTATGCTATGCTTTTCTGTCTCGTAAAGTATTATCCAAGATAAAGACATGGGGAGAGAAAAGGGATGAATCCAGGGGATTCAGTGGTAATCTGTCTTCTGTTTTATGGCCCTGCAGTCTATTTTCAGTTCTGGCTAAAAATCTACACATAATATTACCTCGTGTAGAAATGTGAAGTATTGGCGATACTGCCAAGATTCTTGAGATGACTAGATTTTATTTTATGAATCTGAATAAGAGATGTATATTTAACTGTAATGACTCCAGGACTAATGAAACAATATGTTTTGACTATCTTGACTTTTTTGTCCAGTTTGTTGTGGCTTTTTAAACTGAATATATAACTTAGTAAATTAGTGCACATTTCAATTAGATTTGTTCTTGCTTTGATTATACACTGAATAATATAGCACTAGGCCCATTATACTAGTAAAGCTTCTTGTTTCTCTTTAGCTGGAGAAAAATAAGTGTGTTATCTGCAAAGATTACATGACAGCATCTGGACACCCCCCCCCCCCATCAAAATCCTAGCTCTGTGCATGGAAGAAAACTATGAGTTTTTAAGAAGGTGTACATAATAGCTGACTTTGAAAAGAAATTACAGTTGTATTAGCAGGGAATTGTGTTATAGCTGTGGACTTAAGTGTTTGTCATTGCATTGGCCAATTTGGTTGTGTTAAGACCGAAGTAGGTGGGGTGGACCCAGGGGAGGTACACTGGTGCAGTTGCACCTGCTTTGATTCCTGCATCACCTAAAGTTTAAAACCAACTGCCTGGCAGTGGCAGCAGCATTTCTGTTCAGGAAGCAGTGAAACTGTCCATTGACTTTGTGGGTCATTAAAATCTCTCCGATTCCTTCTAAACTCTTCATTCCATGGGTGTTAATGGCCTTCTTTCCTTTTTAATGGTCTTTGTGTTCCACTACTCAAGCTACTCTTCCTTATGTAAACTTGCTGTCTGATACCTGCTCCTGGTAATCTAGCTCCAATTGCACAGCCCTGTAGAGAGTTAAACTCATTCCAATGAAATGATATTTTATTTTTGCTGTGATGATAACCTGAATAATACAGCCCTGGGCCCAAAGAGTGCAAGAACGTCTAGTTTTTTTTTACCTGGAGAAAAATATGTGCTAAGTGTGAAGATAATACCATACCATCTGCACCCCCCTTTCAAAATCTATCTCCATCCATGCAGAGCTGTCCCTTGGGTAGTGCAAATTGGAGTGACTGCCCTGGGCCCTGTGCTTTGGGGGGCCCCACGGAGCTGGGCAGAGCAGTCATAGCCTTTCTTGCAGAGCATGCCTGGAGCTGGCGGCTCAGCCCTGCGTTGCGGAAGTGTCTGGCTGCTTGCCACCCATCCCCTCCCCGCCGTTGGCTTTGCATCAGCTGAAGAGTGGCTTCTCCGGGGCACACGGGATCTGCTTGGCCCCAGATGCCAAATTTCATTGCTGCAGCACTGCCATGCTCTGCCTTTGCAGGGGTCCCATGGCCCTGCGTGCAGTGTTAAAGGGGCCCTGCACAAGCTGATTTGCCCGTTAGGTTTGGCTCTGCATCCATGGAAGAGACCTAGGAGTTGGCTTTGCAAGCAGCTTATGAACAGAGCAAGACACAGGGCTGGCAAGGAGCTGAGACACCCCTGATCCGGAGCGGGGCCAGATTAACCCTTTAGAGGGCCCTTGGCAAACAAACTCGTAGGCCTCTGCTTAATACTGTATATTTATATTACTTTTGTAACTAAAACAATTACGTAAATGAATATGGGCCCCTTCTTCACTTACAGCCCTAAGCATATGCCTACTTTGTCTATGCAGTAATCTGGCCCTGGTCTGGTCGGGAGGGGTTGTAGTGCTGTGCTGTGTTGGAAGTCTCAAGCAGGTGAAGGACACCCGGCCCTGG